CATTACTGTGCCTGTGAAAGAAGATCAGAGAACAATACAGTTCCACTTCTTGCTTCTGAACTTGAAGCAATATTTATAAGGATATTGCAGCTGAAAAAATTGGATTGTGTCTGGTCAGCTAGCTAGGGCTGTTTCTGGCTTCTGGAAAAAAAAAGTTCTTTTCCTTGTCATAACTCCCAGGTGCCACTGCTGAGCAAATGGGAACATCACTGCCAGAAGTATTTGAAAAGAACAACAAAAAAAATTGATTCGAACAATCTCTGTGTGCCTGTCATTGATAGAGACACAACTGTGACCAGGAGTATGACTAGGGTCGTGGCAAGGTTAAAAGAAAAGCACCCAGGAATTCTCTCTTGTCATCAGGTTTTCAAACTAACTACTCTTGGCTGCTGTAGGCAATATATAAGTTTTCATCAAATACCAAGAGAAATTTAATAGTATTTACAAGTTGCCCTTAGAATTTTCCCAAGAGGTGGCTACTTTGGCCAAGGCAAAACACTTAGAATGTGGAGCTCAGATGGTTAGCACATCTTTGAAATATGGGGATTTCTTGAGAACATGGAGTTATAAGCCTCCTCATCACCAACAAGTGTGTGAGTTGTGTGTGAAACTGAGTAAAAATAGTCTTCCTCTCAAGATAACTATTTTAAGGTTAATATTAATTCTATTATCTTTTAAAGAAATAACTTATTCTTACAAAACAAATGTTATCAAGAGATTAATTACTATCACAAAGCAAAGGCTGCCTGGGTTCTTAAAAGACTACGATGAATAATGCAGAAAATCATTTAAAGAAAGAAATATGTGGTACAAAAATGAAAGTCACTGAATACACTAAACTGTAAACAAATTAATTTAAACATTTGTTAAGGAAAATAAGCATATTCAAAGCAGCAATATTGTATATGAGATTCAAGGACCAATACTGCTAATCAATATCTTAACTAAATAATTTTCCTTAATATGAGAAGTAGAATTATTTCTAAAATTTCCCTTAAACAGGATCTCTTGTGCACAAAAGCTCTAGATTTCATACTTTCATTCAAAATTATTTACTAGTCCTTAGTCATAAATGCAGCTGCAAGGACACACATGAGCTATGAGAATATCTCTGAAGAACTAAATATATTTTCTTTTGTTGGTCAATGAAAAAAATAGTCTTGGAGTAGGATCCATGGGAGAAAAAGTTAAATAATTGCTAAAGAGACAAGTGTACATGTATTAAGAAAGATTTTGTGTAACACCGGAGAAATTTTAAAAACCTGCTGACGGTCTTAATTTTCCAATCTTCAGCAAAACAGACCATGAAAAAAAGCTTTTCTTGGCTTGTGCCTAATAAAATCAAGGCATTAAAAAAAAAAAGGAGAATTAACCAATGAAATGACAATATGTCAGGAATTAATGAAAACAGTTCACAAACAATAAGTTCAAGGACATATAACTCAACAAGCAACACTATTCATGTTCTCCAATGCAGATTTTGAAGAGACCAGACTCCTTTCTGTGTTTTCACATTTACAGAACAAAATTCCTGTGTGCAGTCTTTAGAGGTTCTCTGTGAGTCCTCTAAAGGTTTCTTTATCATTTAATATTATAAATAATTGTGTTCCTGGGTGGCAGTTCAGAGCTCAGTACAGCACTCGTACAACACCACAGGCAGGTCAGGTGACCTTTCTCCAATTCTCCTCTCTCTGGTGCTGAGGACAGACAAAGTGATATGTCTGTCATACGCCATTACCATTAGAACAGAATCTTGTTCTTTTATTACAACTGAACTCCGCCAGATTTCTCAGCAGGAATGCTAAGTGAAATCAATGTCTTGGATTTCCAGGCTGAGCTTGGAGGTCACAGCCACTCTATCATTTCTCAGCATTATCCTTTCTTGCGAGCGCACACACTCCCCAAGCCTCCAACTGGCACACAGCAGATTGAAAACAGCATGCATCAGAGGACTCATGCTGTACAATTTTACAGTCTTTTGGAGCCCCTCCTTTTGATTCCCCCCTTCCATTTTTTGCAAATTGCAAATAAGTTTTGTTTGTGTCCTTCTGTAGAGTTGTGAGTCAAAGGCAAAGGCACACCCAGGAAGAGGGCAGGCAATTAAATCCAGAGAACGTAGTTGATTTTTGACAGCTGCCAATAAGATCATTTTCCTTACATCATTACCTGGATGTGACTTACGATTCCATTGTTCCAAACACTAAATGCACTTTCAACGTAAACCATCATTTGGTTTATGCCAGGTAAGTATGCAAACAACACAAAGCCCTTTAATAAAATAAGTCTATTTTACAGAGAGACATGAAAATCCACCAATAAATCACATAGAAAATATCTACAGGACACTAAGAATTGATTGCTTAAAAATATAAATATAATAATAAATGATAGTTATTATATATAAGTAAAATAGCTTTGTGAAGCCAAAATGCTTATTATGCTACGTATAAATGTCAATTCCAGGTTACAGGAAACTAAATTCACGTAGTGAAATGGGTCCTCTCTATTTACTGCTGGTTGTATTGTTTTGGCCATGTTCTTCGTTAAAATGACAGTGGTGATATTTATTGGTCTGGCTATTTTTAACCCACTAAAGTTTACTGCTGAGCTAAAACACAACATTTAAGACATCTTTTCTGACACTAAGGGTGGTTGTCGACAGGACACTAGAAGACACTGAGCAAAGAAAGGACATATTTTTATTAAATCATTGTTGCTTAAAAAAAGGCACTTAATTCTTGGATAAACTGTTTATGTATTTTACAATAATTGCAGATGAGAAGAAATACATCTACAATTTTCTCAAACCTTACATGATAGAGAAATCACAAGAGTTACTTTTCAAAAAGTAACTGAACTTTAAAAATAAACTATAAATATATTTTTTCAATTATGTATAATCATAGCTATAGAAACACAATCCACTTTTTCACTACTACTAAATAAATGGAGATATATGAAGCCATAGAATGTGACAGAATTTTAACATTCCAAAAATAATCAGTCTTTGCGCCTAGCCTATGGGGTTCTATGAATGTCTACAATCGTATAGCTCATAAAGTACTGTTCTAATTTTGGCAAAGCAAACCTTCAGTCACTTCTAAACTTGTCATGGTTCATCGTTCCTGAAGAAAGCATCATTGTAGCAACTGCTCAATAAACATTTGAATGCATGAGTGAATGAATGAACAAATAAATAGATGCATAAATGGATGAGGCTAACATCAAAAGCTTCATGATTATTTGAGTAAGTGATTTGGGGAGAAGATATTAATGACAAAAAGTTATTCTAGGGGCAAGAAAAAAACCCATTAGTCATTTACACATGAACTAGGTACTCTAAAACATAAAACAAAATGTCCTAATGTAAAGCATCATTATGAAACATGAGGTGAGATCACCTTAATAAATCAAGAAAAAAACCCAATAATATCTCACACAGTTATCTGTGTGTGACAATGACTATGCTGCTAAAGCTCTTTATTTTACTCAAAGTTAGCCTGGACTTATAAAACAGTAAAACTGCTAGTCCACGGAGATGCCAAAAGATCACTACTTTAAAATTAAATCTTATTTAATAAATATTATGATTATTACCAAGTTTTAAACACGTATGTTCTGCTGTGATTATAAAGAAAAGCAGACCAGGCCTTGGGTATACATTAAGCAAAGAACATGCAAGGTCTATTACAAAGCTGAAAGAGATAAAGTGGCATACGTATATTTCCTGACATCACAGGAGTGTGTACAAGATTTTGCACTACGTATTTGCACACATTGCTGGTGAATCACCACCTAAGGTCCTTGTCTAGGTTGAGTTATAAATCCAAATGTATTTATCTCTTAATAATGTGGAAAAGACTTGGGAGTTTTGAGAAGATGGAGGTTGGAGGGCACTTTCCCAACCGATCCCTTCTCTTTCCCAATTTACCCTCTGGATTAATATATTAACTGCGAAAAGCATCTGCCTGGGCAATGGAGAAGGATTAAAAAGAATTCTTGGATTTGTTTTCTTTCAACACTTCCTAATTTTTTCTCTATGTATTTTTTCTCAGCTGTTGTGACTATTCTTATCCTGTAACTCTTTCAGCATTTCAACATGGCATTCATGAAATGGAGAACAGAAGCAGTTTTCTAGGTAATTCAGCAAAAGACAAAACATTATTTGGGGGTAAATTAACCGTGTCAGTTTTCTACTTAAAATTTTCTAATAGTCAGAAAACATGTATGGCTATTTCCCTGAGTAATCTCAGGGAAAACTACTTTATGGTTATCCTTCTTCCTTCTTCCACAGGAAGTTTAATATATTCATTTATCACCATTTAAGTAAGATCTTAACACACAAAAAAATTCGCATTAATTTTTCTACTTTTAACTTCTTCTAAGACAAGAAACAAATTATTTGAAACTCCACCACCCTTCTCCATGTTCTCTCAGGAACCATTATTATCTTCATATCTTTACACGATAATCTCATGTAAGATATCTCTAAACCATATCTATACTGTACCACATTATAACAGCTGTTGATATTTAAATAAAACATTTTGCGTATGCTCTAATTGTACCCATATCTTAAACTCTATTTGTTGCCCCTTCTTTTGGAAACCCATCACAGGATCTCTCACTGAAGGTAATTTCTTTGTCCTCATAACTTCCAATACACTTTTTCCATAACTATGGGACTTTGTATCATAGAGTATGGGTATCTATTTTATAAGACTGTAAGTTGCTTGGGTACAGCATACCTATCTTGTAAACCTTTGTATCAACCACATTTCCTACTACAGCTATCAATGCATATTTGTGGAATAAATGAATGAGTAAATGTATGTATGTAAATTTACACACGCACACTTTACTGATCCTACTAGACTCTTATCTCCTTGAAGACCCAGAATTTAGCCCAGTTACTGCCACATAATAGATATTCAATAAATATCACTGAATGCAAAGTAAAACTCTAAATGGCAAGACATGTAGCTTCTTCAAAAGGGTACCTTGCTTTTGGGTGGCGGGCTGTTTGTGCTCTTGTCTGTGTGAATGCTGGTAGGAGATACAGCAGCACCAAGGTTGCCTTGGGGTATGCCTGGGAGCTTTCCTCCTGGAGACACCTGCATTGCAGCTAGCTGGGCAGCATATAACTGCTACAGAAGAAAAAGAGAGACAGAGATAAAAAAAGACTATCAGTCATAAAATAAACACACCTCCCAGAAAGTACCTATCTTCAGATGTGGTATTCTTCCTATGGGTATTTTTGCTTACTGCCCTGGAATATTTTAAAAAGGAAGCTGCCGTCTTAAATTTGATGACTCCTCAGGGGGGAAATGACACATACCACATATAAGGGATTTCAGCTTCAGTATGTCCAGGGACCCAAAGCAAATAACAGTCATCCATATTTACTCTTTCTCAATGTCTATGGAAGTAAAGTATTTCACATTATTTGGTCAAGAACTCTTTTTGCTCTATTTTAAATTTTAGTGACTGTGTTACAAAAGAATGCAGGTTCATACACAAAATAATTTTCTTACTATTTATATTTGTTCAAACCCTGTGTATCTCCTTTCTTTGACTTATTGAAATGGGCACCTGTAAAAATTTTTTCTGATCTTTAGTTATGTAGAAATACAAAAAGCCTATTGAGAAGGAATATGGAGAGTATTTGAAGGAGAGTATTTGAAGAACATTATCTGGTCAGTCTACCTACGTTGATAAAAATTAACTGGATGCCTGCCAGAAGTCCACTTTACTTCATGATATAGAAATAAAGGCAAAGCTGAAATTATCTTGAGGATTAGGGTTTAAAGGAATACTGTCTAAACACACACTCTTCCAATGAGACATCACATAGTAATTATTATTAAATAACCAATAAAAAATTCTTCAACAAATAAATTTAATAATAAAGGGAAATTTTACTTTGATAATGATAGTCAAAGATACAGCATCTAAAACAGGGAGGTTGCTTTACATTCAAATAGCCACATCAAACGTTTAGATGAATACTCTTTCATGTCCATTTAGCAGTTTGTAAAAAATTTAAAATCTAGATGCTGAAGCAATTATTAAATATATACATATATATATTTATATTATACAAACTGTTTCTCATTTGTCTTAAGATTCCATGGATAGCTTTTACTATGCAAGCTAGAACTTCTGAAATAAAAAGAATGATACTAAAGAAAAAAGCTCTCAAGCAAAAGTACTATAAAATAGTTTTCTGAATTATCTTGATTTTTCACTGAAAGAGAAATTTCACAGGATAAAACTGCTCAGGATAAGTCAGAGACTCTGACAAGCAGGGTCTCTCTATAAATGAAATCATGAGAACTGAAGCCAGGCATATATTTACATAAAAATACATATATATTTTTCACAGTTTCCAGATACTTTGGTCTAAATGAAAATAGGACATTAAAATTATTGATAAAAATTATGGCTTTTTTTTTATGTCAACTAATGCAAAATACATTTCAGACAAAGAAAGAACGACCAGAGAAATATATTTATACTATCAATAATGACTGTCCCTCCTCCCAACTTTTGTGTGTTGGACCAATTATATTGTTTCTTATCCGACTCAATCAGAAAGAAAAATAAGATTTCATTGATGTCTTAGATTACATAAAGAGTAAAAGGATATGTCAATAAGATGACTGGGAGTTTATAATTTTTTTTAGTATCATAATTGATCCATTTCCCACAACTCCACAGAGCATTAGGATTCTTTTCTTTATATTACTTAAAATATTACATTCTTACTCCCTTTCTCTTCCCTGATCCCTACACCCACCTCATACCATGATTTTTTTTTAAGGAAACAATCACATATGATTAGGTTGGAATCTATCCAGTGATTACTTGGGTCTTGGTGCTTCTGTGTTCACAAGTATGTTTATATATATATATATATATATATATATACACATACATATATATAAGTAACTCTCACTTTTCTCTCAAATTGTTCCATAAATCTACATTTTTGTCTTTTCAGCATTTTATGCTCCTTCAAGGACCATAGTTTCTACTTTTAGTGGAACAGTTAAAAGTAAGGCAAACCACAATTCTAACCCCAGCTCTGAGCTAGTGACCTTGGGCAACTAATCTGAACCACAATTCTTTAATCTGCAAATTCAGGGATAAATAAAACTGACCTTATAGGGTTGCTGAGAGAAATAAATCACATAATGTGTATAAACACTCAAAAAAACACATGGTAAAGAATGCTTGATCAATAAGGAATAGTTAGGGGCTGGCCCCATGGTCGAGTGGTTAAGTCTGTGTACTCCACTTCAGCAGCCCAGGGTATCACCAGTTCGAATCTTGGGCACAGACATGGCACTGCTCATCAGACCATGCCGAGACAGCGTCCCACATGCCACACCTAGAAGGATCCACAACCAAAATATGCAACTATGTACTGGGGGGATTTGGGGAGAAAAAGCAGAAAAAAAAAAAGTAATAGTTACATTTACTAATGGATTAATTATACCAAGTAAGAAACTAACTAGGTAATATATATGTCCTGATCTCCTGCTATATGCTGTGGATTGTGCTAGGTACGGCGGGAGATTCAGAAAATGCATCAACATAGTTTCATCCTGAAGTTAAGATTGATAAACATAAAACATTGAGACTATAAAGCATACTATAACTGTATGCCACTGCTGAAGTTGTGGAGAAAAAGGAAATGAGTCAGTATATTCTGATATATCTTCACAGGAGAGATGCAGCTAAGTTGAGCATAAGAAAGTAGGTGGCATTCTAGGAAGAGAGAACAATTTAAAGAAAGGCACAGGAGCAGGAATGAGCCAGCTGTTGCAAAGGGAATTATAGAAGATGGTATGGAACAGTGAGTGGTAGAGAAGAGAAAGTAGAAAGGACAATGACTTAACTGAGTGCATACCTTGGGAAGAATAAAACAGTACTGGGTTTGCAGGCTAAGTTCACTCTATAGAAGATCTTGAAATATAGGCAAAGGAGTTTAAATTTAATATGCAAGCAAGAGAAAGCCATTGAATGTTTGAAAGCAATACATATATTAATAGTTTTAACTAGAATAAAGATAAGACAAGAGTATCAGTTAGGAGGTTATAAAAATTTAGTAGTAAGGGGGCTGGCGTCATGGCATAGTGGTTAAGTTTGGTGTGTTCTGCTTTGGCAGCTGAGGTTCGCGGGTTGAGATCCTGGGTGGGGACCTCTACCACTCATCAGCCATGCTGTGGCAGCAACCCATATATAAAATAGAAGAAGATTGGTACAGATGTTAGCTCAGGGCTAATCTTCCTCAAGCAAAAAAGAAAAAAAAATAGAGGGGTATTGGCAATAGATGTTAGCTCAGAGCGAGTATTTCTCAGGAAAAGAAATTTAGTAGTGATAATTTTAATGATGACTTTAGTTGAACTAACAGTTGTGAAGATGAAGAAGGGAAAAAATGATTCCAAGTTCATAGCACAGGGGCACATAAACGTCTGCCAATTAACTGGGGAAAAGAGAAAAGAAACAGAACGGATGAATAGTATAATTTATACAAAGTCTTCATTTCAGATGTAATATGTAAGTATTTATCTATCACATATTCTCATTTGTGTATACACTCATTACATTATCTTTATTTTATTTTATTTTTTTTAAGATTTTATTTTTTCCTTTTTCTCTCCAAAGCTCCCCCGGTACATAGTTGTATATTCTTCGTTGTGGGTCCTTCTAGTTGTGGTATGTGGGATGCTGACTCAGCGTGGTTTGATGAGCAGTGCCATGTCCGTGCCCAGGATTCGAACCAATGAAACACAGGGCTGCCTGCAGCGGAGCACGTGAACTTAACCACTCGGTCACAGGGCCAGCCCCCATTACACTATCTTTATAACACAGCCAAGACACATATTTTTTTTCCTTTCTTGAAAAAAGAAGAACTAAGTCAAAGAGATTTTCCTATAATTTTGCATTGTGATAGGGAAAATTCTAGAATCATTCACCATTCAATTGTGGACTTCCCCTAAAGGATAGCTCATTAAATACTTTTTTCAGTATTAAGAGTATGATGTACTGTATCTACAACATGAGCTTGAATTGCATTTATCTTAGCCAAGCCTAATCAGTATTTTTTTCTTGTAATTTACCACATGTACCAAAGCACTACCAGGCAGTGGGCTGACAGTTCACTAGTAGGCATTATTCCTGTTGCGCTGGAATGGTCCAGCGTGGGGTCGAAAAAAGCCTGATGGGATGATAAAGAAGATATTTTAACTTGTGCTAATTAATTGTTGCTAATTTTGGGAAAAACAGTACAATCATACTTGGGCAACATGGCTTTTACACCACAGTCAGATAGAACTGTATCTTCTTATGAAGATGGCCATTTTGCTCGGATATCCTAAATTGGTATTTTTCAGTGCTAGGGGTGGAGAAATTCCACACAACAGCCTATTTAAATTCTAAGGTAGACTATTTCATGAATTCCTTGAGACATAAATTCCTGTCTCTTCTGCCTAATAGGTTATTTTCCCAAACTGCTTAAAACACAACTTCTCCCATTGGCTACTAGCGTAGTGTGTACCTGCCATCTGGAGTATATGGATTCAAAGCATTAGGCACTGACAAAAATATCTATCCCCATTTGTTCCCTCAAACCATTAACTGACTACTAAACTCCTTGAAGGCAGGGATTCTGTCCATTATTCAATGCTTTTATTAGAAAATCCTAGAACCAAGGAAAAGTAGAATTGGATAAAGGCAGAAATGAACTGCATAAGATAATATCATTTGTTTATAACAAATACAGATCCCCCATATATATTTAACATATATCTGATAATGACAGTGACTACTCATGAAAAAAAATTTTTTAATCTGGAAATTGGCATGCTTCTACTATTAGAAGAATTAGGAAAAAAAGGCTTATCAGTGATATTGGTAAAACTTCACATTCATTCATTCATTTCATTTACTTAAAGGGACAAAGAAACAATGAATTTAACAATCTTATCAGCACAGGAACCAAAGATAGTATAATGTATTCATTGTATTCATAATTATAATGTAAGTAAGTGAATTTGAAATTATGAACAGAAAAAAATGGGTGGAAATTCTTAGGAAAAAGTTAATATCTTTTAAAAAGACAATAGAACCAAGAGTTTAA